TGGTGGTGGTGGTTGTAGTAGTTTTGCAACACATAAACTTACTCAGGAGCACACTTGAAATACACATTGTTCCCTTGTCGATGGCAGTTTCCACGCACACTGCCTCTCTCGTTTATCGCGTAACACCTGTCTGGACCGGACTTGGCGACTGCATGAAAGTAACAAGTAAATAATTAAGAGTCCGCGAGGAGAGCAACATGAGATATCAGCTCTTATAGGGCTTTTCTCATTACGGACACCTCAACTCAAAATTAAGTCAAGAAAAAGCTTTAATTTGCTGACTGGTAAGATAAACTGGTTGGGTATCAAACTTCTGAGCTACAGAAGGCGGGTTAGAATTCGGCGCTGAATAGTGACTTGACACTAAATAGTGTAGGTGTAACACTCAGTGACTTAAAAAAACTGAGGAGAATGTGCCACCTTTGCCCTGACATCTGCAAATGTTCATCACTCTACACTTTTCAGATAAGGAAAAAACCGCAGGTTCGGCCTTACAGCACTTTCACTGATCTGCATTGAATTTGTTACCTCCGCGTCCTGCGTCCCTGACTCATAATCTCATAAGACACAAAATAATTCAATGGATGCGTCCCGTAGGACGCAAAGATCGATCGATCTGAGCATGTTTTGGTAGAAAATTCTGTTCGCGTGATTTCTGTGGCTGTTAATGTGGTTGTTGTTTAACGATGCATATATATTTTAGTTCCCTCATTTTTGCTGTTTAAACAGACGGACTATGTTTTAATTTCAGTAAACTGTGATAAAGAGTTTGCTGCCTGGTTACATAAAGACCCAAGCTTTTTCAATTTAAAACTCCTTGTTTTTTGAACTGAGATTCAATGGTTCTAGACTGGGACTCATGATTTTTCACAAGATGAGTCCCAGGACTCAACATAATTATTTCTAACAAAATCACTGGATCTGATGAAATCGTATACCCTTTTTAAAGACTCAAGACCCCGAAACCACACCCTGTTGAACGGCACATCCCCGTTTAGGTAAAATAAGGGGGTGCCGCCACCAGGGTTTTAGACACAAACGTCAATGTTTTGAACGAAAAAAGGTGCAACCGGCTTTAAAGCTTGGGAGACAAAAAGTTCATACCAGGCCCCCACAAGTCTTGACATTGTTCGTCATGTAAAGGACATTCACTGTTGTAGCAGTATCCCTGTAAAAGAAGAACAAACAAATCAAAACTTCTAAGTTTTATAATAAAGTTAACGACAACACCAAGTAGGATTCTGACCTTGTTGTTTCCACATGGCTTGCCATTCTGAACATATTTATTGCTTGGGCACTGATGGATAAAAACATCGTCCGTTAGTGAACTAACTTCAACTGAAAGTTGTTTTAATCAGCGATCCTGGGCTAGGTTGCACAAAACCTTCTTACGATAAGAGGGCTCTGAACGGTTGTTCTGTAATAACAACATATTGTTTTGAAAGAATAGTTACGAGTTCCCTTAAGCTCATGATGTTTTTTTGCAACCCACCCGACCCTAGTTCGCTTTGTGAGGACTACAGTTAATGGTGCAATTGCTTCGGCTTTGATTGGATGACACTACAATATTTGAAGAAAGCCACTTCGTCAAAAACGTGACGCGCACGCAAGAGTTTTCCCTTGCTTTTTGCCGACAACATGCACAGTCGACTCCAGATAGCTCGAACCTTCAAGGGAAATCGAAAAAAGTTCGAGTTATCGGGAGTTCGAAGCAAATAAAAATGGTTAAACATTGTATTTGAATTGGCCTGACAAAACAAGTAAAGACAAAGAATATACAATCGCTTTGAAATATGTTTTGGAATGTAGCTCACTTTTTTTCTTCAATTGTCACCCTTCGAGTTATCGGGGGCACAATTGTATAGAAATGATCTGAAGGGTAACAAAAAATACTTCGAGTTAGCGGGAGGTTCGAGTTATTGGGGGTTCAAGTTACCGAGAGTAAAAATTACAGTAAATGTGTGAGGAAAATCTAGGGGAAATCAATTTAGGTTGAGTTAGCGCGAGGTTCAAGTTAGCGACAGTTCGAGTTATTGGGAGTCGACTGTGTTGGCGTGGAGCTCTCACTGGTATGGACTGATCGTATCTCCACTTAAGGACCAAGGCCAGTGATTTCATTCAGTAATAGGCCACCAAGCCAAAAATCACGTGGGGTTTCTTCTTAAGAGAATAATTTGAGAAGTTTGAGAATCTGAGAAATATTTAGAATAGACAAACTTGCTTACCAATTCTGATATTCCGTCGCAATGTTCGGGCAAGTCACATTCATTCACTTTTTGTCGGCATACAGTACCCTTTGCCTTTATCTGCAATCAGTGAAAAGGAGCAAACTAAATTTATGCTGCAGATTGTAGCGTTTGGATCTTATGGTTACTCTTATTGTTTATGACTGCGGTTCATTGACGTAAGATTATGTATCACAAGTCTAGAAGCAAAGTCTTACCTTACAATTCCCACAACAAGGGCCGGTGTCACATTCAGAACCAGGAAGAAGTTTACAGGTCGTAGCATTACAGCAGCCTTCGCTATACTTTTCACACTCCTAAACAATTATGACATTAACGTGTTATGAAGGTTACGAGAGGGTGACGCTATTGACTTGCAAATAAAGAATGCATGTTGTATCTTCGTTACCCAATATAACATCAGTGTCGAGGTTCCACGAGATTGAGGGACGCGGTATCTAATGAGGCCGAGGCTCATAATTTTAAGAGGCTAGTAAATGAGATGTCATGACTATGCAATTTCATTGAATTAGGTCTATATAGGCTCAGTTTCTAATAGGCCAGTTTCTAATTATTAACTTACACACATGACCTCGACGGTAAGAGGGAATAAAAAAAAGAAATTGTATTGAGATTCAGGGATTAATTATTCACAACTTTTATTTTTATTTATCTTACCAATCCACGTCCAATATAACTCCACGCCTTCTACTTCACACATCTCAACCAACCCCTACAACGCTACTGTACTACTCACACATCCCTAATACACATAAAAAAAAAACTTCACACACGCCTAGTACATCGACGCCCAAATATACGCTCCCACAGCGCCTTTTTATGGTCCTTTACCTCGGAGCCTAGTTTTGATAATTCGAAATAAGCCTTTTACAACAAATACTATACAGACTCACTGTACCTCAACTGTACCGCAGTCACACTCTTCACCTTCTTCTTTGAAGCCATTGCCACAAACAGCGTCACCAAACATCTGAGAACGACAACCAAAAAATGAGTATAATAAGAGGCGGTAAAACTAAACGTGGACGGTAAAACAGAAACAATTCAAATATCCTTGAGCTTACTTTAGTTGGTGTGTTGAATAAACACGCATCCAATCCTCTGTCAAGGTATTTTTGGTACCAGTCACGGCTGCATGTTGACCATTCTTTGGATGGCTCGGACCTTCAACAAATAAATTATTATTTAAACAAAGGACAAATCGCGCCCTTTGTAGCCACTTAAAGGACAAGGCGAACACCCCCTATTACTAACACCGATTGCCTAAAAAGCTGATCCCTCCTCTATACGCATGTCAAGAACCGTTTTTCAGTTCGCAGCCAACAGCTACCACATGCGTACGGTGAATCCGACGCTTAAAAAAGTGTTTTACTTGATAGAGGAGGAGGGGAGAGTAGTGAAAGAAACCGTCCACACTTTTCCTCTTTCCAGAAAAAGTGATGTAGACCTAAAGAAGAGGCGAAACTATTACAATGTTTAACACACAAACGTTGAGGCAACCATTTGTCATCTAATATCGAACAGAGAAACCACAGTTGTTTTTAAAGACCTAGAGTTTATAACTAGTAGTAAGTAAAAGACTTGCCTGGCAACTGCGGACATGATGCATCCCTGATTATCAGCTGCGTTGCACTTACAATCTGCAACTGAAATATAGAAGAGTTTTACTTTTAAACCATTGGCAAATACTCCACGTTCAAAGGGAAAAATGTGTTACTCCGCAGATTTAGTGCTACTTGAAAGAAAATGCAATAGCAGTGTTTGTACCAATATACCGTAAAATTCCGAAAGCCCCTCCATGTATAAGCCCCCCAAACTCGTAACGCAAAAAACCCTCCGTTAAATCACCCCTCCAAATATAAGCGCCCCGGAGTGCTTGTAATTGGAAACTGCCCTCAAATACAAAGTAAAACAAAGCAAAAATGGAGCATGGAAGAGGCTGCCTCGTTCCCAGGCGTCTCTCTCTCCTCCTCTGAAGAGGAGGCAGTGAAAGATGCTTTTTGGGATGAGATGAGGACAGGTGAGCAAAGCTTGAAAGGTAAAGTTTGGTCAATTTGAATTATAAGCGTATTGTGATTTGGTAGAGTAATTATTATTCTACAATTCGGGTTTAAAAAAGCATTGAAACGGCTACAACCGCTCGAATACACTTCTCGATAAATATCATTAGCAGACTTACAATCATCATCATGATACATGCCAAAGTTATGACCCATTTCATGAGCCAAAGTGGCGGCCGTAGCTGCGGCACTTACAGCATGGTCCTGTTTTAAAGAAGAACAAGGTTGAATAGAAAGAACAAAAGAAATTACAATACCGCGCATGCATTCAACGCATAATTAGGAACTAAAGGATACCACAGCGAAAACGGTATTTGCGTTCTTTCATCCCTCAATGCAGTTGTCACATCTCGCTAAATTTGCCAAATCAAGATGACCTGAGCTCTCCTAGGGTCCACATCCTAAGGAACCGCAACCAGATTTTAAAGAGAGAAAGAAAGCTTCGTCGTCGAGTGCTTACCATCCTCAATAAAACGTAAAATTGGTCGTAGTCGTACAGGTAAAGAAATTTACCACATGCACAGTGTGTGATGTACGGGCAGAGCTCCTCCTTTGCTCACTTAACCCAAAGCCTTTTTCACGTTCTGTTTTTTTAACTCACGTTGATCAGCTAATACAATGCAAATATTTAAGGAACGGTGCCGTGTAGAGGTAGTAGGGGCCTTAAGATCCCAGGACCAGGACGGCGGCAAAAATGTCCCTTAAAAAGTGAATTGGCCTTCTTTCAATCTTCAGCGCGATTGTCAAACGTAGGCAAACTCTACTAGAGTTGAATTCTAAGTAAAATATTCAGGTTCAGAAAAAGAAAGAAAATTTAGTCGCCGCTTATTTACATCCTCAATAATACGTGAAATTTGGCATTTTTACGTCATGGTCGTGCAGTTTTTACGCTACCGTTACCGTCGGATCTTAAGGTCTCCACCCTCCAACGCCGATGTCGTCAAGCAACGATCCCCCTGAGGGGAGGGAAGGAGCGTTGCGTGGCGACAAAGAGTACGGCTGCGTAGGAGACTGGTGCAGAGATGAGTAAATTTCAACTCTTCGAGGATTCTCCAAACGAGCGCTTGACAGAAGCTTAGGGTGACTACTTTATGCGCATTTGATTATTTTCATAGAAAATGCGCAAAATAAATGTTAAATATTATTATTATTATTATTATTATTATTATTATTATTATTATTATTATTATTATTATTATTATTATTATTATTCGCACTATACGTGTACCTGAACAACCCCGCCCGACTTTCTCCCACACATAGCCGACACTGAAGCTTTACCAACTGTTGAACCTGTAAAAGAACGATGTCTGCAAGAAAAGAGCAACAAAAAAAATCAAACTATAGATAAACAGACGTTGAACAAAGCTATGGTCCCGTACTTGATTTTCATCCAAGCAAAAAGCCCGCCACGTGGGTGGTCAATACAAACAACTACGCATTAGCTGCTTTCTTTGGTGCTCCTGAATCTAGGTTCAGAGCGTATGCCCCCTAAACTAGGGAGCACCTAAACGGGTCTACAGTTCTGCTGTTTGTATCCTACTTGCTCAGTTAAGCATTCAAAGCGTTTAGGGCCTAAAGTTTATTCGGGTCCGTTCTTTGATTAAACAACGGCTTTGACTCAATGCTTCTGACAAACATGTACCTTGCCCTTATACCTAAAGCTTATTACACTGTACAGTACAGCGGGGCGCTAAAGAGAGGTCCCGACTTTAGGCAAAATGCGGCGGCATTATTTGCAACACCACCAATAAAAACTGCAGTGTATTTGAGCCATGGCGGTTAATCACGGAGGTACTATCTCTGCAATTGACTTTTCTTGCGTATACAATCGTATATCGACCATGTGCTATTTCGGTGAATACAGTCATATTTTTCACTACTTACACCAGAAGCATTGCATTGTCATGCTTGAAGTTCTTATAAAGGACGTCGTTCCTGTAAACCATGAAATTGTCCAAACACTTGTCCGAGTTCTCATCAACAACAATTCGATCACGATCGGTCCAAACCTCAACCATCGTCAAAGCAATGCGAATATTGAGAGGACGATAAAGCTGAAAGGGAATAACATAAACACGTTTTGAAAATATGTTTACGGTCAAGTCGTCCAACAGTCATCTTGTATGAAGTTAAACTAGAGATAAGTCGCGACTTAAAGACTAGCTGTGTCACGAAATTCATCCAAATTAGGAAATTACAAAATGCCCGTTAAATTAGGAGAAACATAAAAATAACCTCTTAGAACTTTAAAGAAAAGGTTAAAATAACATAACAGAAACAACAGATGCCACGGATGGGCAAAACTGAAGAAGATTGAAACGGATTGAAATTAGGGTTTTTGAAAACTGTTCAGCCTAACAGTTTTTCAAAGTTGATGCCTGCTGCTTGCAACTTCAAAAATAATGCTCAGGGGACATATTTGTTTGTCTCGGATCTCTGGTTTTGTCATTTACCTGTAATTTCTCCGCTTACTTTAAGTTCCATAACGATTGAGGGCGAGTAATTGGCAAAATTAAACAAAATGAACTGGACTGCCGTGACACAGCATTTCGGGCGACATAACTTCGGGTGAGATGACAGTTTCGAGATGACTTGACCGGTTACCGTTTTGGTTGATGCCTGACCAAACAACGCTTTACTTTTGATTCTTCAGTCCTCGTACGCCAGCGTCTCTCTCACTGAGAAATATTTTAAGCGTACATCCGCACATCCACGATCCACGATGCCTCTCCAGTCACCTTTCGGTTCTTTAGACCGCACCGTTTTAACGAAAGAAATGGATCCGCCCAGAAGGTGGCGGGCCTCTTTTTGCAAAAAACTGCAATCTGGATTTTCATTTTCCAAAGCAGACATAGGCCTTTTCACGCTTTTGTAGTCGTTTTTGTAGTCGTGCAACAACGGCTAAGGAATGTACAAAAAAGCATGATGCACGTGCAGGGAAGTTGTTTTGCAAATCTAAACCTACTGCCTTTTTGCCGTTCTCGTTTCCGTCTCCGTCGTCGTTTCTTAAGCTCCCTAAAGACTACACTCACTATCATACTTACAGAGTCCACAATATTGGCTATACTCCTTGACCGATGTTCCACTGAAGCCTTGTTCTTACTCAGATCCACATACTAATGAAACAGAAAAATATGCTATGTAACGAGAACAACCACATTTACCTAGTCTGATTGTGTCAGTCATATCACGTTGTCTGCATGGTTGACGGGGGCAAACTAAATAAAACTGTAACAAGAGGAATCCGCCTAACGTAGAAGCATTACTGAATCTAAGAAGCAATGCTCCGGGTGCCAGAAACTTTTTAGGCACGGTTTCCGGTATCGCTTAAGTCAGAAGCGCGGTTTCGTCTCCATTGGTTTCGGCCTTTGACCGGGCTTTGGGCTGTCCGAAGGAAGTCGCTCCTTGTAGGTTCAGTATCAATTGCTGAAATCTTGTAAACTACAGATACATGGACTGGCTCTGAATCTACTAGATAGAGTTTTTCAAACTTCGCAAATAATATTTTATCGGGATAAGCTGAAAAATCAACAGATCTGGGGCCCGTTTCGCGAAAGTCCCAATAACTTTTCGGGCCCGGAAAGCTGTTTTGTGTTTGTTATGTTTGCATTCAAGATAAAAGTTTTAATAATTTTGAAAATAATACAATGAAACTATCAGTTCCGAAGTATAATTGGTTTGTAGGCTAGGAACTGTGCAACTATTCAACAGATTTTGATTTAAAATTTGCCTTTGGACCTGAAAAGTTTCCGGGTCTTTCGAGAAACGAGCTCCTGGTCTTTGAGTAATAAGCACATAAAAAAATCGCAGTTTGTTCCCTGCCACATGACTCACCTGGCTGTTATCATTGACTATGACCAACTCCACATACTTTGTTTCACTTTGCACGCTTCTACGACTCTAAAAGAAAGAAACGCAACCTATATTCAGATTAATCCTTTTATTGTACAAAAACATTAGTTACTACGCTAGTGACTGATTGTACAACAGTATAAACCCGAGAGTTAGAACCTGCATTTTGCCAAGTTAGCCTAATCAGGTTCTTATATAATGGCAATTAGCACAAAATTAGGCTATTAAGGTTCTTAAATAGGTTCTTATTTTCTGACGGAAAAAAATACATTGTAGGTCTGAGTATTAAGTGGTATTCAGCTTATTCCTCAGTTATATAAAATCTGCATAGCAATACATTGTGGTTGGAGTGATCAGCCACCCACGTCTCCAAAAAGGATCCTGAATATTTGCCTATGTATACACAATTTTTCTAAATAGATTTTAGAAAATAAGAACCTATTTCACATTTTAGGCTAAACAGGTTATTGTATAAATGGGGCGTACATGTAACTAGCAAATAAATTTTTACCCTAACATATTCTTAAATAGACTTGCTACAAGTTGACCTCACGAGTTTCTTAGCCACATTTTTCTTTTTGCAGAAAAGAAGAAAACAATATGCACCAGCATTATTATGAAACAGGGAGGCTCTTAGCCCTTTATTTAGCACTACACTCACCCTATGCTTTCCATGAGCAGTAAGCTGATCCACAAAAGTTTCAGAACTAGCACTTTCAACTCCTGTAGGAAATAATATAATGTTCAATACACAAGACTGAAAAGAAATAGGTAACAATATGTACAATACTTTCAAAAGTTGGTTCTGACCAAATAAAAACCTAAAAAATCTACAACCCTGGTCAAAAAGTGTTAACAATTTTTCACTTTCTCACTCACAGAACAGCTATTCCGCAGATTTGGTACCACTATGGCCCCTCCCCTCACCGCAGCCTGGTCAATGTTGTTCAGGCAGGGTCAGAAATGATCCAGCTAGACTTCAACATTGTTTTTCGGGGGAAAGGGGAGTATTTGTAGTTACCAAGTGCTTTCAAGAGCTTTATCTAAACATGGCAACATCCATTTTTCTAAACATTTTTGTCCAAGTTTGTGACTGTTTAAAAAATAATAATAATAATAATAATAATAATAATAATAATAATAGTAGTAGTAGTAGTAGTAGTAGTAGTAGTAGTCGTAGTAGTCGTAGTAGTCGTAGTAGTCGTAGTAGTCGTAGTAGTCGTAGTAGTCGTAGTAGTCGTAGTAGTCGTAGTAGTCGTAGTAGTCGTAGTAGTCGTAGTAGTCGTAGTAGTAGTAGTAGTAGTAGTAGTAGTAGTAGTAGTAATAGAAACAAATTTGACGCACCACATCTCTTCTTTTCCTGCATCATATCCCTTGCTCTGTACATAACATGCTGTGGATTAGAGTCACCAAAATTCAATAAACATGGAATAAATTATGCCATTATTCTACTTTACTTAAGGACTTTAAAAGTTATTCGAACCAAAATATAGAAAAGCCTGTTTAGCACACAAAACTAATAGTCTATTCAAATGAACTAGCCTACAGATCCACACACACTTTTTTCCCACAAATGTTGTTAGCACAAAGTGTGAGCACCCACACCACCTTACATAAATGGTCAATAAATATGCCTACACATTATTTTCATACACATGCTCAATGATCTTTAAAGAGGAAATAAAAGGTCTGTGAATAGGCTACAAATGAACTACAGATGTATGGAAAAGTGGTTATACTGGTTAGACGACAACAGTGATACCAACAGAGAAAAGGAGAAATGTGTGTGGAGAACAATGGATTGTTAAATGGCATTTCTTGTTCAATTTTCCTCTTCTATGATTTACTCATAACCATTAGATGCTATCTTGCTTTCAACCGACAGTCCAGCCTGGCGGAGGTTCCTTCCCAAGGTCCAATCCCTTACCCTTTCATATACCACTTCTGATGAAAAAGGTATCCCTTTAATATACCTTCCATTGAAAAATTGGTGCCCCTTTCTCATACCTTCTAACAGTAAGTATTTTTTCAATAATCATAATATGTAGCATTTAATAAATTTAAATTATACAGCTATAGGGTGTGTCTGTTGGAAATATTTAAAATTAAAGGCCTTTAAATTTTTAACTGGCAGATTTCTCTACCCTTTTACAAAGTCATAAAATTCCTACCATTTTCATATTTTTGAAACCTGAAAAGCTCCCGCAAGGTTATCACAGGGAATGCCCTAGCCTCTAAGCAGGTTCCCTGGGGTGCTCTTGCGGCAGGGCAAAAAAGGAAGAGAGCATGCATGTGTCAGGAATGCTAGAAACCTGACTGCAAGCTCTCCCTCTTTTTTGACCCACTAACAGAGTGCCCCCGAGCGCTTGCTCCCCAGCTAGGAGTACCCCTCCCCCAAGAGCAGTCCAGTGCTGTGTTTCTCCAACATAGATGCCTTTCGTTAATGAGCATAAACTTTAAAAGGAAAAACAAAAACTGAACCAAAGATCAATGAAATTGACATGATAGTCATGGTTGAATTGTGTGACATTTACCTTATCTGTGTTGTTGGGAAGTGGATGGACATAATACGTCTCATTACCATCATAAATCATCCCACTGAAATGTGAAACATAAAGTACAGTTCAAAATTGACCCTTATGCCCAGTTAAAATATTGAACTTTTCAAGTAAAGAACCTAATCCCCTCAACTAAGTACATGAAGAAATTGACGTTTGAACCACTTAAGTCCCACATATCTAATTTGGGTCAAGTCCCATGAATTAAGATCGAGTGCCCACATGGGAATTTTGACTGTGGAATGACTTGGCATTTCAAACGCTGAACTTCTCATGTACCAAACCAAATGCATAAATTATTATAATTTAATTTCCCTGGTAAGCATAAATTATTATAATTTATTTTCACTGGTAAGCATTGTAGACCATAACAGTACATCGTGGAAATGAATTGAGTCTTACTTTAATTAAGTTCAACCTCTGAATCAACCATCAGACTTGTACTGTTGGGTCGACCTAAATAGGTATTACATTAAATTTTGGTACATGGAAAGGTTGATGTTTGGTCTGACCCTTAGGTTTAAGACAAAATGTAGCCTACACGCAAGTCCTTAGGCTGGCTACATGGATTAAATATTACCTTTTTTGTAAAAAAAATACAGTCAACCAAAGTCAATTTCCTCTGAATTTCCTGCATAGAATTCTCGTAATTTTTGCCTCAGTATGTCAATAACTTGAGCTTCACACTAATTTGTCTTATTCGAAGTAATTTTTATTACCCTTCAGATCATTTCTATATAATTTTACCCTTGATAAATAACTTGAACCATGTTTTGAGCATGGGGCAAAATTAAGTTTCAAAAAAGGTGTATTGCAGTCTGAAACATTGAATTTGCTTCAAATAAACCATGTCTTCTTTGTCATTACTTTTTTGTCAGTCCAGTTCAAATACAGTGTCATGGGTCCCCGTATATTAATCAAGCTTATTAATTTTTTCAATGGTCAGGGTTAACTGCCTTACCAGTCAGCACCACAATTAAATGGGATTGTTTTGAAAACCATTTTTTTTGCGTTTTTTCTAGTTATTTGCTACGAGCTCTCGATAACTCGAACTCCTGATAACTCAAACTTTTTTTGACTTCCTTGAAGGTTCAAGTTATCGGGAGTCGACTGTATTGAAATGTTCCAAATATTATTAGTTTTTAAAACTTCAACAATTAGCAGGGCAATTCTTAGTAATCGGAGATGACTAGTAGGATTGTGTTTTCAATGGCAAATGAAAAAAAATTGTAACTAAAACCACTTACTCGATTCCTTGACATGTACTAATTGCAACAACTGAATGCTGACATCCTTGAACTGTTCCTTGATAGTAGCAATGGTCTTTTTTCTACAAGTGACACAATTACATTTTATCACTTACACAGTTTTTTAAACAATTATTCTTTGCCTGAAACCACCTATAAACCTGCCAACTTTTTTTTACATTTATAGGGTCCAATAATATCCGAAGATGTCCGAAGACGTTCCGAAGACTTCCAAAGACGTTACGAATAGTTCCGTCTAACATGAACACAGAAACACAAAGCAACATTGACTTCCCTAATAAAAAAAAGAGAATTCGATCATCCACATAGACTTTTCTTTTCTCTCTTTGCTTCTGGTTTCTTTAAATAACTAATATATTTTTTTAATGTGTCACTTAATTAACGCTGTAATGGTTCAAAGTGTGAACATAGATACAGGTACTTGTTTGAGCTTCTGTTAAATCAATACAGTGGAACCTTTTAAGTACGGTCACCAAAATATGGCTGTTTTGCTGGGACAAAACAAGTCACCGTATTACCGAGGTGGCTGTATTACCAAGGTGGCCATAAGGCGGAGTTCCACTTTTGTTGTTTGAAGATATTTGGTCTAAAATAGTGCATTAGTTGTAAATCGTCTGACTGATCTGTATACATTGCCTTACAGAATTAGTTGGGAGAATTAGATATTAAAGAATTATTGTTTGAAATTTGTGATACAAGGATTTTTGGGGTGGAAAGAAATTCATTTGCAGACGCACTTTTTTGGGGATTGATTCAAAATACAGTATTTCGAAGTTCTAAACACCCTTGACTCAGTCGTAAACTTTCTTCCTAACATTTGCCAGTTTCTCAGCACAGTCTTAGATGAAACACATATTTTTCCCTGACAGTTTTAGTAGGTCATTCACCATAACTTCTTCAGATAGCCATGAATCTTTTTTCTGTTTTGTTGAATTCACTCACGCCAAAATCAGGGGTTTCAATAAGTTTTTGCACAAGTGGGTACTTAAGGGCAACAGGCGGGTATATTTGCCGAAGGCCCAAAGGGCCTTCGACACTAGGGGGGTCCAGGGGCATGCTCCCCCAGAAAATTTTGAAGTTCTAGATTCTCGCAGATGCATTCTCAGGTCTTTTTTTGTTGCTTTGTTGTTTCATTTTTTTGCTCCTAAGTCAACTAATTTAAACAAATTTGAAGAGAATTATGTTACAATGAAGTAGTCACAGTCAAAACCTATTTTGCCAAATTTTTTGGCAAGAATTGCAAGCTGAGATGAAATTATCTGGTCTTACTCGACGTTCATGTGAAGGCTTTAAGCGGGTAATCGGCCCGTTGCAAGCAGGTAGATCTACCCGCTACCCAGCTACTATTGAAACCCCTGCAAAATAGTTAGGTTTTCTGTGCCGCTAACTGGAAACGAGGTTTTAATTTTATGTTGGGCAATAACTAATTGAATTGATGGCATAATATTGCCTACATCTTCCAAAGCAAGCACTAGCTGGCTATGAAAAATTACAGCCGGGGAATTTAAGCCAATCAGAAACATAGAAGTATTTTGAATGAATAACAATGTGTGTTACTTATATTTTTAAAAAAAGGTTTTGAAAAAAAAACTTCCAATTAAAGTAAATGATTTTGTTATCAAGGTGCCTTTGTTTCACATTAATTACCAGTATAATTATTATTTTGCAACAATAATGTGACCTTTCTTTTACGCCTACATAATCCAGTGTTTAAAATATCGTGTGGGTATAATAAAAGGAAATTTCCATCAGAAATTAAATTATAAATTAAATGTTGTCAATACTGCATCCTCCCTCTATACTTGAGATGTAAATAAGGAGAGAAAATGACCTTGGAAAAATACAAAACCTGTTTTACGCCCGATCACAAGTTGAGAGGAAGGTTAAGTAGGTTTATGTAAAGCACCATGCCAGCTAATACGTCATGTCTGTCAGAAACTAGATACAGTATCTATAGATCCTTCATTATTATTTTTAACCTAAAAAGGTTCGTGAAATATGGCACCACCAAAACTAGATTGAATGTCACAAAGGGAGATTCCCTCTCTAGGCTTCGAAATATAAGAACATCATGAAGACAAAGAGGGAGTAAAATTGGATATGAAGATCAAGCCAGATAATATGCGTCCAAAGAAAATAACATCTGTAGCTATATTCAAAAAAGTGGCAACTTTCGCAATGGCGGTAACACGATCTATTTTTATTGATTGTGGCCCTTCTCGAATGTCATGGCTGTCATCAGCCGATTAGATGCCAAACGGAAGTCTCCAGCAACACACGAGGACAATATCACTGTACGTGGTTCTCGGTCATAAAAGAACTTTCCTTTCTTCGAGCAGCAAAAAAAGGAACAAAATAAATAAAAAACCAAAGTAACTTATGAGAGCAAATAATTAGGCTGCGAATAATGAAATGCAAATATTGGACATTGACCGATTATCAATTTTTGACAAACAAAATGCAAGAAGATTGTCTCTTGAGCAAAGACAGGTAACCACGAAAAATAAGGCTTCATTAAAAACAAAAATATATAAGCTTACCTCGTTTTTTTCAACAATTTCGTTTCCATTTTCATCGAAATACCTTGACAAATAAGTGCCAGAGAGCAGAATTCTGGAGAAACAGGAATAATACTGTATGATGATAAAGTCGTACAGTCAGGCGGAATGTCTCACGAAAACTCTATTAGAATGAACGAGGCAGCTTTAGCGCCCGACTTACCGGTTTAGGGCGACGTCCAAGGTAAAGTCTTTGCCAAATCCCCTTAAGTACAAAAGTGTTCTTCCCAAATGATCACCCTAAACGGAGAGTAAGTTTAACATATTGTTTTTCATTAAGAACTGCATGGTGCCGTCAATTAACAAACCAATTCTTACAGATGCATGCAATTTGTCCGCAAAAGAAAATTCGATTCATCGAAGCAAAATAAACGACCGTAAGAGGAAAGAGCTGAGAAATCGCACAGACAGAGTGAATATCGGAATACGGTATTGGCTCATCACTCACCGAATTAGTTTGCGTTGATGTATCTCTCTTCCACCGACCGTGAGCTTGGAGCTGAGGAGTGACAAATTCGTATTTTCGAAGTTGGTGGAGAAAATTCCCATGATCGAGACCTCTAGAATCTGTAGAGAATACCACATAAAACAGCGTATATAGGATTATCCTCAAAACTCTACCATGTAAAATTTTTTATTTGCGCCCCCTTGAATCTGAAGGAAACCAAATGAAAAAATAAACAGACAAATACGTCAACGTCGACTAATTTATAAACTTACCTGTACCTTCAAATAAACTTAAATGAGTAAAGAGAGCCAGACAAAGGATCGCAAGTGGCTTCATCCTCGGCACTTTATTCACAATAACTACAAAATCCAGCCGTAGATGTGATCAGCGTCACACGTACTGGAGTCCGCTTTCGATGTCCGCTTTACATTTTACGCCCATCACCCACGTCCTGTCAACTTCCTGTGATCGTGCAAAATGACTGTTTCTTGAGCCCACTGAAAGTTGTAGTCAGCTACAGAGCAAAAATAGGAACTAGCGGGGAGGTGACTGGGGCTTCAGCGTTGCGTTTGTCAAAATGGCTTCTCGCCCAACACTACACGAAGACTTAACCTCAGCTTTTATTCGTTACAGAGACGGTCAAGGACAATATGATCCTCTCTTAGACCGTAAGAAATGTTAAATAATTTTTAGTGGATGCTTTCAACATGATTTTGATACACTGCAAAGCATTGAAGCACTAGTCAGCTTTTTGTGACGCCAGTGTTTTGCTAATAGTTTTAAGAAAACTTTCCTACCATTTTTTAGAAAGGATAAAAGCCGAAGGAGAAAGGATCCTTAAAGAAAATGATCCTAGAAGCACTTCTCGTATAAACCCTCATTCAATATTTTGGATGGTAGCAGCTCTAGCTGTGTTCTATTACTCAGATTTTTATATTGCACTGAGGTTTGATTCTAGAATACATAGGTAAGCTTAAGTGATTGATGCACGATTCTTAAGTTGTTTAACATGTATTGTATTTTACATAATGATGATTTCCAGAAAACTAGCTGTCTAAATTTCCTGGCAGCAGTGCCCTGGTAACCTCAATGTTGCCCTGGAGACAAATTTTTGGGAGGAAATTATTTTGATTGTTATTTCAGTGTTGTGTACGTGACCCTGAAGTAGAGTAGAGCTCTGCTAATGTTAACTCCCAAAATCAATAAATAGCTGGAGTTAGTGGAGTTTTATGTTAGCACTTTAAATTTATGAAAATACTTGAGACCAAGAAAAAAAAAAATATATATATATATATAACTACAGTTTAGCCTCCACTAAGCAACCACCCTCGGGTCCCCTCGGCAAGTGGCTGCTCAATACTTCTCATATATTATTATGAATTAGGATAATCTTCAGGGCAAACTATGTGTTGCATTGTGCAATACTGATTTCAGTAAGAATAGTTTCTGTCAGGATCGGGCATTTCTTTGAAGGAGTATTCCACTGGAGTTGTGGCAAGCTTAGCTGTTCAGCATTTATGGGGCTGGGGCTGTATTTTGTTGTAGTTTTAGAAATTGTGTGTTTCACATGTATGTAGACATGTAATTTTTATTCTATTGTTATCCTGTCGAGTTTAAATTGTTGAAATAAATGTTATTATTATTAATTTTACCTTAAAATATGTAAGTTAGATGCTGATCGAGGACATGAATAATACTGCAATTTAATTTCTACGCAGGACATGGCTATACATTGGAGGGGCTCTGATAGGTGTAAACCTGTGCATTGGTTGTTACTGTGTTCTTTGGTTAAGCTACTACAAGAAGATCACTGAATGGGACAAACATAATCCTTATGTTATACCAATTGCTACTGCATCATTTATTGCTGGCATGATTTGGTAAGGATGATGTCCAGGTAGAAGTAGGGGGAGGGTTGGGTTACTGCACCACAGGGTTCAACCTCTCACCCAGTTATATACTATTTTTGACAAAAGTTACCGGTACCCCTCTTGTATACCTTCTATTGACAGATGGTATCCGTTTCACTTTGATGTACCTGGTTTTACAATGCTGGATGCCTTTTAAATGTTGTTAAATTAGTCTTGAATAAGTCACTGAACCAGGAAGTTTTCTTGTCTTTTTGGCAGCCATAAAATACATCTGTGAGCCGGTCCTTTTAGGTCCCATCGCAGACCAGAATGACAGATTTTCCCACCCACAATCCCTACTCTTTCAGGAACCCCATAACAACAGGAGGCTTTCAGAGTAGGAGGAGCATCCCTGTACCTGCCATTGTAGGGAGTACGTCCACCCCCCCCCCCTGGGCGATGCCTATTGTATTTTTGTTCTGTTCCAACGGGCTGTCACTTGTTTATTCCTTTTCTGGGGTTGCGCTGTGATTTTGTGCACAAAGTGGAACAAATCAAGAAGAATTCTTTGTTCATCTGTTAGCTGAGTACCATATAGATTGCTTGCAATTGCCTAGACTTTTCTCAAAGTCCTTCACTTCTTATTTCTGGTTCTGGTAGTTGGTCCAGAGCTCTCGCTCTCTCACTCCCGTTTACTGCAGAAAACATAAAAAAATCTATCGCTCGCGCTTCAAGCTCGTGAAAGAACTTGAGCTCAACTTGTAGGCAAGTCTAGCAATTGTCTTGAATACGCTCCAATAATTTGTATGAGTGACTAATTCTAAATTCTAAAGAATTTTTTTAAGGGGTTATACTACCCACAAGCTTTATAGAGCCATGACTCTTGTAAGAGAGTTCCGGAGATCCCTTTACCCATTTAACTGGTTTTAATAAAAAATGTGGATTTTGCTAGAAATTAGGCTACATGTTATCTTCAAGAAATGATGAAAAAAATCAGGTCAAAGATCAGATAAGTTGATATAGCTTAGCTCAAACTTACTCAAATTGCAAAAAATTCTGTCAAAGCTTATGGGAGGTAAATGTACTTCTAAATAGAACTCATTTGATGTAATGGAGGGTTTTAATACTTGCTTATATACTTGATCAAATTAACAGAAGTGACGTTTTTGTTTATTCTTTTTTTGTACAGCTCAACATATGCATTGTGGCCTGTTTGGAAAATTCTTTCACCATTCATAACATTTTCGCTCTTTATGGGCGTTATATTTTTAGCTACTTTAATACCTGTGTAAAGAATCTCCCTTATCTTTGAAATTTAAATTAAGAAATCAGCTTAAAAGAGCTGACACAGTCTGGCAAGTAGAAATGAATAGAGGTCAGGAAAAAGAGATGGTGTTTTAAAAGAAACTGTTTTTAAAATGTGTTAATGTTTCAAAAAAAAGACAACAGAAGTGTTTTCTTTTCGCTTAATGATGTACATTTACTCACTCTTTGCAATCTGTGTATTTATTTGTAAATATCGTAAGATCAATAAAAGTTTGCATACAATTGATTTTAACCCTCTCAGTGATGTCTTTTAAATGCCTTTTGATCTTTTAATGATTAAAATGAGATTGGTCGAAAATTGAGCAAACAATGTGGACATGAATAAATGAATCTGTTTCTCTCCCTACAATCTGTTGTGACGGCGAGCTAAGAGTTTTTGGCAAAGTCTGTGAACAAGAAATGGAAAGCCAGGAAATTTTATTTTGGGTTGTGCAGAGTGTGATGAAGATTATAAACATTTTACTCAGAAAAAATGTTCCGTAGCTGGTCGATTTCTGCAATAAATTTAAAAATCAAAGCCAGTGAAATTGGTTAGAGATCATAAAGAAGTCAGGGATTTTTCAAGTTTCGTTCCAATTAGCGGCAGGCCTGACTGATAATATTTTCTAAGCGTTTTATATGCCGAATGAAAATGATATTGTGGGTTTTGTCGGCTTGCTTGATGATCTTAAGCACCGGCGTTTAAACGCATCAAGAAAGTGTTTACCACGTTTAACCACACTATAAAACGAGTTAAAACGCCATTTTCTTAATTCACCTTAATCCCCTTTATCATATCGTAAATGAGGTCACAATTGGATTCAAAATTGCAGGTGTTGGTGTACAGCTTCCTAGTCTTCTTGAGCAGAAGTTGTAAAGGTATCCAAATCTTATCTTTCTTGATTTGATAGCATAAAAATAGATAAGGGAAGTCTTAGACTAAATGGTCTTACATATCCCAATAATCCCGTTGTTTCCGTTTCGGTAGCTACAGCGGTCTGCAGGATTAGCCTTAATTAATCTAAATCGAGACTGAGAAAAGAAAGATAACTGCAAGGAACAAACGTTCTAAAATTGGACAGTTATTGTCTTTGACTTTGTGATAGTTTGGATTTTCGTTTATATGTTAATTACTCAGCAGAGGCCGAGAAAGATCTGTAAGACTTTTAAAGCTTACTTTCAGTCCGTGAACCGACATAGTTCTTAAAGCGGCACATACCTGTGTTTTACTGAGTCTACTTGAACCGTAAAATAGGTAGTGGAGTACTACGCACTATTATGCACCAATTCTATTGTCTTCTTTTGTTTACCCCTCGCTATTTTGCACTATTTGTTATAGTCTGTTTTACGGTTCAAGTAAAATCGCTATATAAGGCTTGGCTTTCGATTTCAGACGTACTCATTGTTTAACAAAAGAAGTGAAGAAAATAGAAAACCACAAAACAGGCATTTTCTGAAGGGGAAGCTGTTCGTAAGCCTGAAACCAAAATGAAAGTTCTTTTCAAGCGGGCTGTAAGCGAAGCCCATGAATTGAACCAATCGCTATATGAGAGGTGTCCTGCTTTTAAAAAGACAAGTTAGAGGATTTATTTGGTCAAATTAATTGAGCTTAGTTTTGATTTGGTGAAAGGTGGGGTAGAAATTCTCCGTCTATTTTGGTACGATTGTCGTCCAAATTTAGCAAAGACAGCTTGGCTACGTGAATGATGCGTAGTGTGTGCAGATCGATCCAAAGGTAGCCTGAATTTCATCCGATTGCTTCGAGTCGTTTTTCTCCTCTCAGTAACTGAGGGAGATATAACGACTCGAAGTAATCGGATGAAATTCAGGCTAATCCAAAGGCAGACTTGACCAAAGGCAGAACAGCCGAGTGTCGCGTGCAATCCCTCCTTCCGCTTTCGCATTCTCATTGGACTTAAGTAGCGTTGTTTGCTAAATCTGTCTGTTTTTCTCTCGTTTGAGTAAGTTCATTCCTTCTACGCTTAATAAATAATCATCGGATGCGTTTTCTTGTTGAGGATCTCCCGAATGATCAGTCACTGGTAGTGCTGTCAGATAACATTCATCTCAACATTGATCACCGATATCGATTTTAGGAGGGCTTACACTAACCACAATAAAAAAAAAGTGCTTCGAAACAAGGTACAGCAGTGCTGATGAAAATACGTTTTGCATTTACGCGGTTTTTAATCAAGCTTCAAAACTTCATAATAAATATTCAAGCTAGAGGAGGGCTTATATCTGGGGCACGCGGACGTACTTCCCGTTGGGAGGGGGGAGGAGGTTACTTGATTAATTTTTGCTGGGTATGTGCCGCTGGCTTCTCAGAACCCCTATCCCATTGTGGTCTATGCTGTGGCCATATTATAGACCCCATCTTGGTCAGTTTATAAAAAAAGTAATTTTCGCAATCCCAACTTGGTCACTTTCTGCTTCTTCATCTACCTTATAAAGCCTTTTAACTAGAACGTCTTGAAAAAAAACTGCCACATTTTTGTTAAACTTAATGTGATATAAATCTTTCTATTTTTAAATGCCCTAGCTACATACCTGAATTTTCTAGCCCTTAAAATCCTTAAAATGTACGACCGCATTCTAGAAACTCTTACGAAAATGTAACCCCATATTAGTCAATCTAGTCGTGAAAATGCTACCCCATCTAGCGGCACATACCCATTAGCCTACTGCTAGGAAGTACCCCCCCCTCCCTCCCCGGGGCGTATCTTTCAGAGCTCTTCTGCGCATGACGGCCAGAGAGGAGTCAGAAGCGTAAGCACTGGGATCGAGAATGTAACTGGGGGGGCTTATAACCTGCCGTTTACTGTATCACAAAATTCGAATCCACTAACTTTTTTATAATACAGTGTTGTAAAGAAAACAGTCTAACGCAAGAAACAATTTCGAGATGCATTTACCCGCTCAAGCTACAGATTATTCCTGTATCCTGTGAATACCATAACATATATTATTCAGTTAATCTGAAAAGACCTTAGACCATAACAAATTCTGTAGGTATAAAAATAGTTTCGTTTATTATCCCGCACGAAAAAACGTGCCTAAAATATCCAAAGCATACATAATCTATAGTTTGGACACAGAAAATGTACAAGTCAATGTAAAGTAAGACACGCTATTTACATTTACACTCGACCAACATCTCAATATAAGCCTGCATTCTACGAAAAAAAGGGGGAGAGAGAAAGTGAGACATAAAAAAGGCCTTTCTTTTCAAATGTGTTCGGAAGAAGTAGGTGGGTGGGGGGAGGCGCTCATAACAACTAGAGATTACTGCAATTTAATTTGTCATGAGAATAACCGAGATGAAATAATCCCTGCTTGATTAAGGCAGGTGAAAACTGTCAACACGTTACGCTCCCAAAAAGTGCAATGTTTGTCACGGTACTTTTTTTTTTTTCATGGAGGGGGCAACACAAAGCTTAAAGAGACTGAAGAGACGATCGCACCCGAACGGCCTTCATGGCTTACGCTCTGTACTTTTCGTATGAATTTCAGGAGGACATTGTTATAAGACAATTATACATCCAGTTCCTAGTTCTGGAATATGTCTACCTTCTGTATCACCACTGTCGTTTTTTTCGCTCCATATATGTATATATGCATCATAAAATAACTGCAAAAAGCTGCAGCTTGCTAAAATAAAACTCCTATAAATAAACGTAAAATTAATAAACACATCAAGTACTTGAATGTTGGCGAGAACTGATCAACTGTCAACGCACGCTCACTCAACTGACGATAAATACTAGTAATCGATTAAAGTATTGTTAACTCACTTTTTACTAAGGACAAATTATATGACTACAACTAAGTACTTGAAACCAAAAGTATGAGTTCTTCAGTTTACAAACTCAAGTTATGATTGGTTCCAGCTAGTTCAGTAATTTGTAAAATATCTTTATCTAAAACTATTGGATTTAATACGTATTTTTCTTTTCCTAAGAAGAAATATGTACAGCAAAAAAGAAGGAAAGTACTGCAAACGGATTTCCAAAAAGGTTTTCGTATAACAATCATAGCTACTTTTTTGAAAAACAAGTTGGATGATCATCGATTTCCAAAAGCCTTTCTACGTCTTAAATATTTGATACTTCTTCAACAACAGCAAGCAATGCAATGTTTTTTTTTATCATTCTAGTCTAGCTAAAACGCGCGAAGGATCTACATCCGAACAAAGCTGCTCAACCTCAAACCGCACGAAAAAAAAAAAATCTTTAACCAACTCTATCACATTCCTCTCCTCTTTGCTCTTCGGTTGAAGAAAGCTCCTTTTCGTAGTGTTGAAGAGATTTCAGAGCGTCCTTCACTGCATGGTAGATTATGTTCTTAACCTGCGATAGAATATAATCAGTATCAAACGTCTCGTCTGTAAAGTTCTTGCTTTTAACCATCAGAAGAGTGATAAGAATAATTTAAGAACATGATTAGCCCAGATGAACTCTATACATTGTTTTGTTTTCTCCGCAAATAAACTTTCTCTTTATTTTTTTTTTTACTCTCACATATGCTTATTAAAGGTGCTATACCACAAGTATATTTCGGTTTTAGGTCAATTCTGGGTTGAAGTCATTACTTACAGCCTTTTCCCATTCACAAAATGCTCCGTTAGAGATATGAGAAAGATATCAATCAAATTTTATCAGGAAGCACCAACCATAATACTTTTTTAGTGACTTTGGAGATATAGCATGGAAACTTGAAAATGTTCACCCAATTTTTTCAAGTTTCCATCCGTGTCCATCCTTGCCATCCTTTGCAACAGACGACTGATAACAGTTTCATTGCCTAAAATATATTCTTAAATAACAAATCTGGCCAATTCTTTTTGGAATTCAATTGATGCGAACTTATTTAAAAAGATAGCAAACAGCTTGACATGGTCCCTTTAAGGAAGCCTGTGCCAGGCTCTTAGATAGTGGGGAGGTCGCGAAAACAAGGTCAAGACGCGCGCGATCTGGGAGAAGGTGCG